CGAGGTGGGTAGATTGCCTAAGCTTACGAGTTTGAGACCAGCGTCAGCCAGAGCGAGACTCTATTTCTACAAATAGCTGGATGTTGTGGTGGATGCCTGTCCTACCAGCTACTTAGGAGGCTGAGGCAAGAGAATTGCTTGAGCTCAAGAGTTTGAGGCTGCTATAAGCTGTGATGCCACAGCACTCTATTGCCAGCAAACTGAGACTCTGTCTCAAAAAAAAAAAAATTCAGTTCCTGCATCTATGAAATGGGGTTAACATAACTCACCTTGGAGAGTTGTTTACAAGATTAAATGACATAGAAAATATGTTTGTTTTTTTTTAGTAGGGGGAGAGAATGTTGCTGATTAGTGTTTGAAATCCCTGAATGGGTGGGAAAACCCCACCTTATGACTTTTGCTGGGAAAGAAAGCCCACCTCCCATTAATGAAGCTGGATGTGGCAGACATGCTTCCTCAGCCTTCCTCCAGCTAGGACCAGGCCCTGTCAATTGGAGGCAACTGCCTCAGGCTTTGGATCTGAACTTGGATGGTTGGACCCAATTCATTGTTTGAATCTTAACTTTGAATCTTTAAATCTTAACTTTGAATCTTAACTTGGATGGTTAGATCCAATTCCTTGTTCCTGTGCCTAAAGGGTTACTCTCATTTTTGTTCCACAAATGTGCCATGCCTGTTGGTATCTCCGGGGAAAACTACGTGGCAGTGGCAGCAGCAGCCACCAGAGAGTCCGTGAGCGTCAGTGGCAAGAACCTGGTGGAGGCATCAGGACTGAACACCAGAGGCAGTGGTGGGGCCATCCGAGGGCCACGATCTACAGCGGCGTTGGTGTACTGTGCCCTGATTGGCTCTGCGGCATGATTTAGGCTGTGCTATGGCCTCCCTTGCTCCTACCTCGCTTCTGAGGCTGGCTCCACAGGAGTATAGGAGCTACTTCAACCCTTCCTTTCTAAAAGTTTCTTTCCTGCCTGTGCTGCTCACAGTCTGTTTCTGCTGCTTGCAAAGAAACTCTGTGAGGGGTCCAGGCAGCAAGTGCAGGGCTGTCGGTCAGAAGCGGCTATGTGGGGGAGGAGGGGGAGAGACACAGCACAACCCCCAAGTGCCTGCTCATTTTGTGGGTGCAAAACAGAGGATTAAACTGTTGCCTGGTGTGCCTTGGGAGACAGACTACATGACTATAGTTTTAGGAGGAAATGACAGGAAAACAATCAGAAAGTTGGCTACTTCCTACAGTCTTCAGTAAGATTTATAAGAGATAAGCTTGGGCTAAAGAGGGCCAGTTGGAGGAAAAAAAAAATACATGACTTTGCTAAGAAAAGCCTCATGGGGCACGTGATTCCCATTGATGGGAAATCTCTCTTTTTGGCTATTTTTTAGAGCTGGGGTCCCGCTCTTGCTCAGGCTGGTCTTGAACTCATTGAGCTCAAGTGATCTACCCACCTTGGCCTCCCAGAGTGCTGGGATTACAGGCTTGAGCCTCCACGCCCAGCCTTGACTAGCAATCTCTTAATTTGTAGTCTTGCAGGGTTGGAAATTGGAGCAGATAGTAAAATATGGGAAGTGTTCCACATAGTGTTTGGTGTATACACTTAGTAAGTGGGACTGGAATGTTTAAGTATTTGAGGGTGCCAATCCTGGAAAAGGGTCACTTAAAGTAATCCATTTAAACAGGGGACAGGAACTTTACAATGAACACTGGAGGAAAACGTTTGAGTCTCATTTTTTATTTATCTTATTTATTTATTTATAAATGAGACAGAATCTTACTTTGATGCCCTCAGTAGAATGCCATGACATCCTAGCTCACAACCTCAAACTCTTGGGCTCAAGCTATCTTCTTGCCTCAGCCTCTTGAGTAGCAGGGACTACAGGCACCTGCCACAATGCCTGGCTATTTTTAGAGCCTGGGTTCGCATTCTTGCTTAGGCTGGTCTTGAACTGCTAAGCTTAAGCAATCCACCTGCCTCAGCCTCCCAGAGTGCTAGGATTATAGGCATGAGCCACAGTGCCCTGTCCCCCCCGTACCCCCCCCTTTTGAGACAGTCTCATTTTGTCACCCTCAGTACAGTACTGTGGTGTCACAGCTCAAAGCAACCTCATAATCCTGGGCTCAAGTGATCCTCTTGCCTCAGCCTCCCAAGTAGTTGGGACTACAGGCACCTGGTACAATGCCCAGCTATTTTTAGAGATGGGGTCTCGCACTTGCTCAGGCTGGTCTGGAACTCCTGAGCTCAGGCAATCCACCCACCTTGGCCTCCCAGAGTGTTAGGATTATAGGAGATCCACCACTCCCAGCTCATGTTTGAGTCTTTAGTTGGAAAAGAGAAACACTTCACCAAAGTTACCCTATTTCGGTGGTGCCTGTGGCTCAGTGAGTAGGGCGCCGGCCCCATATA